ATGATCGTCATGCATCTCCGTTGTACCCATGCCTCCCTCCTCCAATGAGCACCGAGTGCTCTTGGCTCTTGCCGCTATGAAGGCCAATCCAGCATTGTCTATCCGAGAGGCTGCAAGGCAGTACAACGTGTCGAACTCAACACTGCAGCGCAGAATGGCTGGTGTCAAAGCACGCACAGATACGCATAGTCCGCATGCCAAGTTGACAGCAACCGAGGAGAGGGTGGTCATTGAGTATGTGCTGAGGCTGGAGGAGCAGGGGTTTCCAGTGCGAAAGGGAGATTTGGAAGGGATGGCGGATCTATTGCTTGCAAAGAGAGGAGGGTTGAAGGTCGGGGTGGCATGGGCAGACCGGTTCATCCGACGACGACCAGAGATCAAGACTCGGCTCTCCCGTCCCCTTGACTACCAGAGAGCACGGCAGGAAGATCCACAAGTGTACGCTGCATGGTTCTGGCTTGTGACCAATATGCAATCAAAATATGGTGTTCAGCCAGGCGATTTCTATAACTTCGATGAGACCGGCTTTGCCAAGGGCATGATCAGAGCGACAACGGTTGTGATAAGCAGTGAACGGACAGCCCGGCCAAAGGCTATCCAGCCAGGGAACCGGGAGTGGGCAACAGCTATCTGCTGCATTGCAGCAGATGGGTACGTCCTCCCCCCTTTTCTTTGCGTGATTGGGCGGCACCACCTTGCAACATGGTATGCGGACAACAACATCCCGGAGGATTGGGTTGTCAAACCCACCGACAAAGGCTGGACGGACAATACTACTGGTCTGGAATGGCTTATGCACTTCAACAAGTGTACTGAGAACCGCAGGATTGGTCAATACCGCATGCTGGTCCTTGATGGTCATAGGAGGCATGTCACGGTCGAGTTTAACCAGTATTGCAAGGATCACAATATTGTCCCCCTCTGCCTACCGCCACACTCATCACACTATACTCAGCCTCTCGATGTCAGCATCTTCGGGCCTTTGAAGCAGGCATACTGCAACCAGATCTCTTGGCTCTCACAGTGCGGCATCACAAGCATCACAAAGCCCAACTTCTTTGCCACACTCCACACTGGATTTGCATTGGCATTCACAGTTCAAAATATTAAGAGTGGATTCCGAGGTGCTGGTCTGGTGCCTCTGAATGCACAGGCAGTCATATCAAAGCTCACATTACACCCACGGACGCCTACACCTCTGCCAGTCGATGAAGAACCGGAGCAGCCATGGTCTCACAAACACCAAAGACCGCAGCAGAGACTGCCTCCCAAGCAACACTCATCAAGAACAGGATTGCCCAGCATCAGGGGAGCTCACCTACCTCAATCTATGCATCGATTAACCAGCTTGCAAAGCATGCCATTGAGCAAGACCATCGCATGACACTCTTGACCGGACGAGTGCAGCTTCTCGGAGAGACAGTTGACCACCTTTCCAGACGTCGCAGGATCAAGAATGTCCGTCTCCAGGACTCTGGAGTACTTACTGGTGCACAAGCCAATGAGCTCTTGGCGGAGCAACGTGTTGGTGAGCTGGATGGGCAGGATCAAGGCAGAGGGGAGGCTCGGTTGAATCAAGCAAATCTGGGTGCACGATGCTGTAGACTCTGCAGATTGCCTGGACACAACTCCAGTACGTGCCCTGGTGCAGAACAAGTAGATAATGTGCCTGTACAGCGGTCTGATTGATGAGATGTTGCTTTAATTGTGAGATATCGTACATCCATCACAGAGGGTCCACAAACCTGACCCGTTCGCTGCCCTGACCCGCTCGAAGACGGAGGAAACCCTAGCGGAAGTATATGCACGGACCAGGTAAACACTAGTGGACGCGAGGGGTCCGCACCTTTTCTGGGATCTCAAGCATCCGAATAACAAAAGCCGCCGAACAACTGATAAAGTACTCTGCTGATATTAGTATTCTTCTTCTCTGACCTCTCTCCCTGATGATAAAGTTGCTTCACTCGGGTGCTGAACCGGCATTGCTCCCTTTTTCTCCTTTGTTCCGCACTTTTGTCTTGCCGGTACTCAGAAGCGTCTATTTTGGCTTTCTCTCCTCTCCTTTGAACGTGTTTTCAAGGTGCAACAAAAGTCCTCGCGCTATTCCAACCCTGGCTCTTCCCGCCTAGCCGCCTATCGCTTCCACTTGCCAGAGGCATTCTTTCTACCTCCTAGGCAAGTCGACCCCAGGCAACCGCACCCCGCAGGCGAGCAGAAGTTTCCTTGTTCTCATCCCATCATCTCGGATGATTGCATATAAAATCAGGACGATCCCCATATTATTCGGCTCTCATGCAATACGATGCGGTCTTATGCTTGCCCCGATCGTCTGCGGCTGTCTTGGAGGACGTAAAGCCAGACAGAGATGACGGCACGCCAAGTCCTCCCCCAGGCATCGCATCGCCCGTCAGCTGCTCTGCTCAGCACTCCTGTCCTCGTCCCTACTCTGCCTGCGAGCGAGCGGGCTTTGCTTGGCTATTCCTCAATTGTTCACCGACACGGCTTGCTCCGGATGGCACTCGGGACGCCGCAGATCGTTGTCCTCGCGGTGGGAATTCCCATTCTTGTCATGGTCATTACCTGGGTGTTATACCTCCTCCGACGTCACTCAGCGGGCGTGAGTGTGTCCATATTCGCCGAGCGTAGGGCGCTGAAGAAGATTGGCATCAATCAGTCTAAAGGACCGTTCGGAGAATGCCGTACCCCGCGTCCTCCTACCCCATTGCCCGATCTCTCGACATTCGAACACGTTTCACCCGTCAAAGAACCTACTCCGATGCATCCTGCTCCGGGCGGCCGTCTCATAAATGGCAGGCAAGCTTCCCCTCCCCCAGATCGGGAGATCGCACTCTCTCGTTATCATTCTCATACCTTGCATCTCCTTGCCGTCATGGGCCGCAGGGAGGATGACCCGATGCACGCCCCTGCCTTCTCGCACAATGGTGGATTAGAGAGCGAGGCGGAGAGAGGTCGCAGCCATTGGAGTGGCTATTCAGAGAGAGAAGAGGTTTCTCCAGAGAGGATTGAAAGAGAAAGTACGATTGAGGACGACCGAGATCTGCCTCGACCACCTCGGGCGTTTGGGGACACCAGCATGCAGAGTCTTGGCAGGCCGTCTACTACGGGTGCAACGAGGAGGTCGCACGATATAGAGTGAGAGATCACTGCTCGTAGAGTAGCTACGTTTAGGAAGTCCAGAATGTTCTTATACGCAGCATTTTGCACCAACATAGACAGGCAATGGGAGCTGATATTCATTAGTATTACTACTCCGGACATGTTGTTTAGTCGTGTTTGTTACAAGCAGCGCCAGCGCTGACCCATCTCAGTTGCCCATCTCATCACAACTATCCTCGTCGCTGTCCGTCGTTGCGGCAGCCATCTCGGGCAGCTGGCCAGCCGGATCATCCAAGTCGCCCGAGCTGAAATCGGTTGAGTCGTCATTTGCGTATGCCATGTCACCGGGAACTGAGCCGTCGGAAAGTGCCGCCGCCGTTACTGGCACGCTGTCAGTAGCTGGAGTGAAGACGATGAGGACGTTTGAAGAAGATGCATCGTCTGGATTGACGCTCGCAGCGTTGACCGTATAAGAAGGCGTCTGAGTTGCCAAGTCCATCGGAGTTGCGCTGTCAAACATGGGCTCGACAATACCGGTCGAGCTGTCGTACATGAATTTCTGGGACGCATGATCGGTGTCCGGAGCGCATGGTGTGGCTGCAAGGATTGAAGACGAAACGGGATTCTGATCGTACGTCAGGCAGCTGTCCACCATCTGCCCGGTTGCCTCTTCGATAATGGGAATGTGAATTGTCACCGGAGACTTCGAGGCAGCCGAATCAGCATTGATCGCATTGCCAGGTCCAGATGGAACAAGGAAGAGAGTTGTTGACCTGTTGCTTGATGCTATCATGACATACTGGGTTTGGCTCGAAGATCCCGTCGTACTTGGATTGGTGGTAAGCAGTAGGCCGGCGACGGTATTGAGGGCCGACTCGGTCGCATTCAGAGCAGAAGCGGGCAGTATCCCACCAAGCGCATCGTTGAGAAGACCGTCCTGGGTGAAAAATCAGACGCATACATGAGGTCACGGAGCTGTAAACGTACCACCAGGCTTAAGACACCGGATAAAGGGGATGAATTATCCCGCAAAACTACCGTGTGCGCCAATATAGCGTCTCCGTGAAGTACATCGTCTGAGGTTGCAAGGTTGTTCGGCAAGATCTGGGATGCAAATGAGCGTGAGATCCATATAGATATGTAATTGCCTTACTTTGGCGACTGCGGTAATATCAACGACATCTCTCAACTTGAGAGGTCTAGGAATGGCGGCGGCCTGCGCAGAAACAACGAGTGACATGAGAGTGAGAGCGGTGAGCTTGGGATGCATGATGGATGGCACGTTTGAATATGGAGAAGGATGAGGTAGGAGCGAGGAGAGGGAGATCACCAGGATCTGATGGGGGAAAGAGAAAGGGTGAAGTCCTAGAAGCTCTGACAGAGGCAGGCTTATATATGCATCATACGGATCCTCTCGATCATGCAAGACATCACCCGGCCGATCGATACAGAGTTAGGATGACCCAGACAAGCCAGCATATAAGTACTCCGTGCCGAGATCACAGGTGTCCATTCCTCTAGACAACCAGAGCGAATAGAAGCAGCAAGCCTCAGACATCAAAGCAAACATGCGATCCAGCAGCATGGACGGAATGTTGTTGCCAGATCATGTGTGACTGTTCGAGGCAGCCGCGTTTTCAGTTGCGCTGTGAGTCGCGTCGTCTAAGTCACGTCACGCGATCTTCTCTGTGCACCATACGTTTGTCGAGTTCCATACATCAGCGAAAGCGTCTCTCATGAGTGAACTAAACATCGAAGAGTTCCATGTTCGCGTATATGAGGTTGTTCGCATGATACCCCACGCTCACGTAACTTCGTATGGTATGAGAATTGTCACGCTGACCCCCAAACGGACACTCATGAGCTATTTGGGCTTAAAGGTCATATCGCTAAACTTATTGGGATGCCGCGACATTCGCGACACGTTGGTCAAGGCAAGTACACACCTTATCAGCCGTAGAGAAGATGTTCATCCGTGTTAAGCCCTCAAATGGCTACCTGAAGGCTCAGACATCCCTTGGCAGCGAGTCATCTCATCTTCAGGTCAAATATCCTCAAGGGGTCCAGCAACGGAAGGCGCACAACTACAACGAGAGGCGTTAGAAGCAGAAGGTGTTGAAGTGACGATGCCTGTTGGAGGGGGGACCGGGAGAGTCAATTTTCGGGAATACGGATGGTTCCCGGATCATGTCGATTTTGACGACTGACTGCCATCCTTTTTTCGCAGTTCAATCAGCAAACCATCCAGCTTGGACCTTAATGTATGTGAAGGAAACATGTTCTTACTCGCTCAATCCCTGCTCCTTCAATAGATACCGGTCAATATATGTACTGTTCCAGGCACGAGCCTATTATATCCCGCAATGAGCACCGCGACGAACTCTCTCAGCCTTACCCCCCCAGGTCTGCGCTCTCATGATGATCTGGATCTTCGAATCCCTGTGCCGAGCATCGGAACGCCCAATCGCAGGTCGACCATATGCTACCACGGCCGTATTGATGCACTTCTGGGAAGATTGACGGGGAGGGAAGACCGTCGTTTGTGCACCATTGGGGTTGCTTTATCGGCAGCGATGCTGGAGTTGACTGCTCTCGCACTCGGATTACAAGAAGCAAAGTAATTTCAATCATGAGATTCTCCTACCAGAAGCTGTTGTGACCTCATTTACACCCACTTGAGCGTAACGTATGAGAGGTTCGAGGACGTGGCGTAAGTCATGAGAAAGAGTGTCAGCAAGAGGGGGAACAACATCATCCTCTCGAAGACAATCCCAATTCTCGGCCTCAGCGTCGTAGACCCAGTTTCCGTGATTATGATGACGTTGATATTCCAAATTCGATCAATATTGAGCAACGTCGTCAGGAGGTTCTGGGCGATCAACTGTAGAGCGCAGTGTGCAAGGAAACTGTGGTATTGACAGTGCTCCCGTTGGTCATCGCTGTCCGGTGAAGGTGAAGAAGACGTGCAAGGAGAGAGCCCCCATCTTCACCAGCCCTTCTTTGCGATAGGACAGGACACCCCTTTATTGCCTGGGCAGCGATTTGGAAACACAGCACAAGGGGATGTCCGCAGTCTTGGTTCATGTATTTTGGCGCTCTGTACCGCTTGTCGGAAAGCGAAATCGGAAGTCACAACGAAGCGTGACAATCTTGTAACGTCCGTCTTCTCAGTTCGGGTGTACGGCTCCAGCTTGCTTCGTCGGAGATCCATATGGTCTACGGAGCGCTGTCATACGGAGAAGTCAGAAACGAACAGCCAAAATAATACTAGTCTGCCCGAAAAGAGACGGTGTGGTGCAGCGGAGGTATTGCTCGTTTTCGTGCTGGAATCGAATGGTTCATTCTTCATGTTTTCGTTGGGCAACAGCTGTGTGAATCCAGTACACAGTATATTACCGGACATCGCCTGAACGATAGGATCTGCACGCATCGTGTAAGCCAACAACCAGGCGGAGGTGATGAGGGAAGAAACTCCAAAAGGAAAGGGGCGGGAGATTGTCATCCAACAAGCGTCCTCCACGTATCGCACCAGAAACGTTCAAAACCGGTTGTATCACCCCACAGATATGAATTCGAGCAGCAAGGGCCATTCAGACGCTCTTATCTCTGGACCGTAGAGAACAGGTTTTAAAGGGATAGGATTATCCACAAAGATAGAACTGTTTGGAACAGCATGCGTACTGGGTGGCCGTTAGCATGTGCAGCTTTAGAAAGTCCGCAGAGACGCACTATCATGAGTCGGCCGATGCTGTTACGATAGCCCGGGCCATCCTCGGGGTGAAAGTTCTCCAGGCGCTTCTTTTATGTTGGTATGCCCTTTTCAACGTTCCCATCGCCTCACTTCCCTTCCCACCTTGAACGCTCTTCGGGTTCTTCACGCTTGTGATGTTCCTCGGTCCCCCTGGTTCCGTGATAGACGGACGTCAGTCGACGAACGGGGCAGTACGCAAAAATGCGTAGTATGACGGGTCTAATACTCCCCAGGTTGGGGAAGCGGAGTGAGCGGATGGCGCATATGTGACGTCGGCACTTGGGGTCTGAATTGTTATTCCCGCCCCATTTGTTTGTCGCGCCAGAGAGCCAGCGCCCTGTGTTTGTTCCGCTGTCTCGGGTTGGAGACCAGCGCGCCTCTAGGCCGAGCTCGCATAGTCTACATCATCGTCCGATAATCAGACGGCCCCTTTCTACGCATACTTGACCCATCTGGGCCGAAGCACTGCTGGAGAGGGAGATGAAGCTAGCGTGTGTGGTGGTCATACAGGTTTTGGAGCTCGTATTGGTTGAGCATGTGGAAGGGCGAGAGAGTGGGTAGGCGCGTGGATTTGTGAGGTGGATGCCAATAAGGGTGCCATGCGCGTTCTGCTCGATGGTTGTGTCAAACGCGGTTTCGACAACGCCAGTAGAGCTATCGTGCATGAATTTCTTGGATCCGCGACTGCTGTGCGGAGCCTGGGGTGGGGGCGCGAGGATTGAGGACATGAGATTCTGGCCGTCTGTTAAGCTGGTGTCCACCACTTTCCCAGTTGACGCATCGAGGATTGGCATATCAATTGTTGTTGGAGACTTGGTGGCAGCCGAGGCAGCATCGAGGGGAGGGTTAAATATAGATGGAACGAGCAGGTTGAGTGGTTGGTCGATCCCGTGATGTACTGCGTATGGTTCCAGATCTCGGTGATAGTTAAGGCAGGGAGACGGAGGCGCATGCGTGCTGGGACACACGCAAGGAGGGCAGAGCCGGGGTGACGGCCTCCAGGTGGTTCATGACTACGAACTTGCAAACCGCGAAAAGACAGTCGGAGACGAGTCTCCGATGAAAGAAGCGAATTCCAAGAGCAGGGTAGACGATGGTCACGTCCAGTTTGTCTGGACCGGACTTGGGTTAGGCGTTGCGCCATGGTCAGTAGAAAGCGTCGTGGGAGTGCCGTTGAGCAAGACGGTGCCTGAGCCGCTGGAGCTGGACGAGGCAGACGTCAGCATCGAGGTCATGGAAGTGAGGGTCGTATGTAGAGGCGATGGATATAATCGTCCGGGTTGCATACATAATCGTGGTGGTGAGCAACCTTTCTGTTCGAGAATCAGCGGTTGGCTTCGGTGAGGAAGATCGTTCTACAGTTACCGAAGGCATATCAATTGTTGCTGGAGACTTGGTGGCAGCCGAGGGAGCATTGAGCGGAGGGTCAATTACAGATCAAACGAGCAGGTTAAGCGGTTGGTCGATTATACTGCGTATGGTCCAAGATCTCGGTGATAGTCAAGGCAGGGAGACGGAGGCGCATGCGTGCTGGGACACGCGAGGAGGGCAGAGCCGGGGTGACGACATCCAGGTGGTTCATGACTACGAACTTGAAAACGACGAAAAGGCAGTCGGAGACGAGTCTCGGGTGAAAGAAGCGAATGCCAGGAGCAGGGGAGACGATGGTCAAGGCCAGTTTGTCTGGAACGGACTAGGCGCAGCCCCGCGGTCAGTAGAAAGCGTCGTGGGAGTGCCGTTGAGCAAGACGGTGCCTGAGCCGCTGGAGCTGGACGAGGCAGATGTCGGCATCGAGGTCTTGGAAGTGGGGGTCGTCTGTAGAGGCGATGGATGTGATGGTCTGGGATGCATACATAAGGGTGGTGGTGAGCACGTTTCTGTTCGAGAATGAGCGGTTGGCTTCGGTGAGGAACATCGTTCTACAACTCACCGGTGTGCTAGATTACACATGTGGGAGCTCGACGAGCAGAAGGAGCATCTTGTGGTTGTTCTCGTTAGGATGACTTTGTTCTAGTTATCCGAATCCGACATGAGGGTGTCCTGGGTTGAACGACTGCTTCAATCAGCTCGCTTCGTGCTCGAAGATCAGGGGCGCACCGTAGATCGCCGTTGATCATTCTGCAGCGAACTTTCTTGGTAAGATCGAAGAGGATGCGATAATGTAAAATGAGCCCGAAGCTGAGAAGGCCGAGTGTCGCGCTACTCGTTACGAGAAGATGCGAATACGAGTGTCAAAGAAAGCAGTAAACGAGGAGGTTGATGGTTTGGGGGAGAAGCGTAGAAGTTGAAAGCTAATCGAGAGCCGTTTCATAGCTGATCATAAATGCACCAAATACTTGGACAAGACAGTAAACATCCCAGAATCGATCGATTGCAAGAGACAACTACACGATCCAAGACTGACACTAAGATTGGGTCGTCACGGGACCGTTCACATGTCAGTTTATCCGACGCCGGCTCCGGTCTCCCCCCCGGCTCCGGCGAATTTGAGTGTGTTTGTTTAATATGAAGTTCAGATTGGAATCGACGCGTTGCTGGGATCCCAAAAGGCAAAGTGAAGGGAGCAGGTCGGAGTCGGACAAACTGACACGTTGTTTGAAAAGACTCCGTGACGTCAGCACGCGAAGACATCAGGGTCGGCGCCTTTCTCTGCAAGCGCGCAGTCTCACCTAGACCGTGTCGTCGTTGTCTTTCACTCTCGATCGACTATTTACTGTCTCGTTCGAGGATTTGATTCCCTGGAAACCTCTTAAATACTACGCTCTCTTGCACTTCAACTTCTACTCCCCCTCTTCCTCCATCAACCACGACCGTTCCTTTCCCCATCTCCCCCCAAACGAATCTGCTACATGGACAGGTGGGCATATCCTCTAACACCGAACACCAGGTATCACTGACCCTCCTTAGCCTCGAACTCAACCTTCATCAATGCATTCTCTCCGACCTCGCCAAGAATGTCGCTTCTACTTCCCGCTCCCCAGACGCTGATACCCAACAAGTCGATGCGAGCATCCGTGTGCTCGCGGAGCGTGTCGAGACCCGTGCTGTACCGGAGGGCGAGGGACTGCAGGATGACATGCGAGTACCTATGGTATGTCCTCCTTCAAAGCCATGAACCAGTGCTGACTAGGAACAGCCTGCGAGCAAAGTACACTGCAATATCGCTTTCGGGGAGCTCGCACCCAGTGTCCCCGATGAGCACATCGACAGAACCCTCACGGTACTTGTCGAGCTCCTGCGAGATGTGCCATACATCGATTTTGAGCCTAGCCTAGCATGGACTGGTGCGCATCTAATCATCTCTGTCAAGTATACCTGACTTACCTAGGAGTAGAATGGGCTCTTCCAGACCAGCTGGTATTCACTACCGTTTCCTCCCTCCTCCGCCTCGGCTCTTTCCACCAACGGCTCGTCTCCGACTGCCTTTGCGCGGTTTTCCAGTTCCTGAGCAAAATCCTCCAGCAACTCAGCACCGCTCCACCACAGCAGGTCGTCACCCAGACGCTCCCCTCCTTTCACGGCCTGTATCGAGCGCTCGTTTCAGTCCCTTTCCCCTGGTCTGTCGCCCAATGGCGTGCACTCACCTCGCTCCTCTCGCAGCTTTTATCTGCTGAGCTCGTAGAGAAACTCAACGACATCCTCGTCAATGCGATCGAGGCGGACATGTCGGACGACGAGTACACCCCGCGTTCAGCAAACGGCGAGGCCCCGAATGGGTTGATGCTCGAATCTCCCACCCGCAAGTTCTTTCCCCGTGACCAGGCGATGCAGGACCCGAGAGAAGGAATGTACAAGCAGTCGCTCCTTACGCGGTACGTCGCTGCCGGTCGACCGCTGACAGGCTACTTCATCGCCTGTTGCGTGGCGGAGATGCAGTGGACGACTTTGGCGCAAGCACTCCACACCCCCGGAGAGGAGAACTTTGTTCCTAAGCCACCTGTGGATGCCGAAGCCAGCACACTGGCGTGGACAGCTTTGCTGGAACAGAAGCTGGACGTCTCTGGAGACTTGACCGCGGAGGATAAGGAAGGGCTCAAGAACACCGGAGTGGAGGCGAATAAGTGGGTATCAGAAATGCTTGCCCAAATCAAGGAACTCGAGGGAATGGAGGGAGACGCCTATGTCCGAGAGGTGATGGCTGAGAGTTTGGTACGTCTTGCCCTTAAAGCTGAGACTGTACTGATATATGCTCAGAAACTGACTGCCCTGTGCTCGGTTGCGTTGCAGGATTTGGATTCGTCACCTCTCACTGGGCTTAAGGTGATGCTGAGTGACAACGCACCTGTGTATGACGCGCTCGTCCAGGAGGCAGCTTTGGCTTGTACCGCGCTTTTGGCTCAGAAGTGAGTACCTATCTCGCCTTTTGACTGTATACTCACGCACTCTGCAGCTTTGAGGAGGTCGCCGTCGCTATGGTCTCACATCTACGACGCTTTGTGGTTCTTCCTCTTCACATATTCGAGTGCGAGTTCGTGGCAGATATGAACGCGCCTGCACCTCTGACGGCCGCTGCCAAGTGCCTAGCAATCTGCATACAGAAAGCGTCAGGGGAGGACCTGATCATGTCCTCAATGTACTCTCTCCTCAACTATATCTCCGCCACGGCGCGCGACCATTCCTCAGCGATGTTCGAGGCCGCCTCTCTCTCGCACATTCCCGGGAGTACATTTCCCTACCTGCGCGGACCGGAGGGAAGCGGCTATTCCACAACGATGGGACTCAATAACTACTCGCAAGATCAGAAGCGTCTCGTTGCCATCAGCATTATTTCGGTCGTCACGCATCTCGCTCTCGAGTTCAACCGTCCTGAGGTGGTCAAGCTCACGGTATCCATGCTCCTTCAACGACTTCGGTCTGCCGAGGCCGCCGTAGAAGCGTCTATCGTTTATAGTCTCGTCGACCTCGCCCTCCGAGCACCTAGTAAGACGTTTGAAGATATCATCAAAGCACTGTCGGCGATCAACAAGTCCTCCAACCCTGAGGATCCCTCCTTCTCCAACAACACCGTTCTGGCAGCTCAAACTCGCCTCGCACAAGAACTCAGTAAGAGACCGGAGTACTTTGAGCCGTATCTCCTAGAACTGCTTACCCTGTTCGCCGATAAGGGTGTAGCGATCCAGACGAGCGTTTCGTCGGGCAAGGAACATACTGCTGTGCGTTCTAGATCTTATTCTCTAACTCTGCTCTGATGTCTCCCAGTCGCATGATGTTGTGAGCGAGCTCGCAGCTCTCGTGCTCCCCATCGATGCCCTCCTCTCACAGCCTGATATACTCAGTAAGATTCCTTCAACCACCGACCTGACGCGCTACTTCCGCAACTTTTGGTACATCTGTGTGCTGTTCCGGTTCACAGAAAGCTCGCCAAAGATCAACGAATGGCAGCGTGCCGCACTCTTGAGGATTGCTAAGCAGACTCCGAACTTAGTTGCCGAGGGCGCGGCGGACTTCGTCTCCGGAGAACTCGAGTATGATGTTGTTTTGAGGAAAGACTATGTCGTCACTGTGAGTTCGCCGTATGTGCGCATGAACATCATTAATTGTGTAGGCGGTCAATGAGCATCGGAGCATCCTCGCCCAGTATCTGCCCGCACGAGCATACGACATGAAGGCTTTCTCACCTCCGCAAGTGATCTTCCTTCTCACAATGCACGATGTGGAAACGCTTCGAGCTCGCGCGGTACTTCCCTCCTCCCTGCCACTATACTTCGTCAACGAGGATGTCAACAATAGCGCTCTGAAGCCGTGTATGGACGCGATTGCGGATAAGGTATGTACACATTAGCACGGCTCGGGCAGGCGCTACATAGGAACAGGTCATCCGTGGTTTCCTTGTCGAGCTGAGCAGGCAGATCGTGGAACATTCCCTAGCCAAGACAGTCTCCTCTGAGCTTCGCTCCTTGCTTTACGAATCCTGCCATCGAATTGCCAAAGTTAGGGAGCTGGCGTTCAAGTACCTCGACAAGCTTATCATTGCATTTCCGTCCTTGATGTGCGACCAACCATTTTGCTTTGCCTTGCTGGAGACTCTCACCGTCTTGCGGAAAGCGTGTGAAGAAGAGTTCTTGTCCGAGGTGTGTGAATCTTGCAAATACCGGCCTTATTGACGTTTGTCTAGTATTCGCCATCTTACCATTTCCATTCTGAGAGATGTGGGTTCTCCCTCGAGTTGACTGATTCGTACGCAACGAGGAACGAGATCCTCGCGCTCGTACATAAGAATGCTGCCCATTGGTTTTCACTTGCGAACGCCCGCGCGCCTATCGAGTTACAAGTCACGTTGCAGGTGCGTCCGTGTAAAAGCTTCTTCATGCGCCTGACTGACGAACCCAAGCAATATCTGGCGGATCATCATGCCGTCGTCTTGCCTACTGATGTCGAGCTTGGCGCCTCCCTCGCACTGCAGTTCGCTAGCGCCGTGAGTCCTTCAGAGCGGAAGATAGGTCAGTGGATATCTCATATAACTACGCTTGGCACTGACCATGGTTATAGCGCCTATAGCGAGTCCCTGGTCGAACTGGAAACCGGATCGGGCGAAGGTGTTCACCAGTCATTTTGCTGCCAAAGAGCATTATGCAGGCGAGGGCGCGGGGTTACGGTTATATGGCCAAGGGGGTGAGTGCTACGTCTCTATCGAGCTAATCTCAATCTAATAGAGTTCTAGGTCTCCAAAGGTTGCAGAAGAGTGTACCGGCTGCTGCGTCTACAGAGGAGATCCGTGCCATGAAACAGCAGATGTCCCGGGCTATCCAGGAGATTGGAGACAGGACCAGTAACTTTACGGTACAAGATATGCGTCGGTTGCTGTTCCGCTGCACTTCAGTGCTAATTGCTGTTGATGGGGTAAGTGAGACCGACTTGTATAACTCATAGCTGAATTCCTATCCCTAGAACGATTTCGACCTGCTACACTACCTGGTAACACTTCCCTTTAGGGCTTTCAACCCTATTTCTATTAGTGCTGGTATCGATGCTTGGACATGGCTCGTCTCAGAGCGTGCCGATCTCGAGATCATGTTACTTCTGGAAATTGCGAATGCTTGGACCGGAACTATCAATCATAAACAAGGCATCTTCTCGTCTGTGCTAGAGTACGTGATGTCATGCTCTGGTAGTTCTTTGTCCTGACCGTCTGCACAGCTATGATGATCCATTCAACCACGCTATCCAATATACCCCATCCAACCGTACGGAGATGGATCATGAGCAAGCCAGTGCAAAGCGCTTATTGACACCTCACGCGCTCCTCCTGCGGGCTTTGACCAGTCGGTTCCAGGCTGTTCGTTATCATCATGCTGGGTTAATCCTTATTCTCCTTCGACTTGTATTGCGGTCTACGCGTGCCCATCAACTGAGGTTCGTTTCTTTATCAGTTGATAAGCGTCGCTAATATGATTCCCAGCACGCATCCTCTGGCTCGAGAGGTCCGGTTTTCAATGCTGTTGTTTGGCTTCGAGGTTCTGAAAAGTAGCCGAATGGACACATACACCGAGCTGAAAATGCGCGAGGAATTGTATGCAGCCGCATTCTCCTGGTTTGCTGCACGACCCCAGTAGGAATGACCTCCCTCTGGCCCCAGTGCCGTATTGAATATCTTCCTTAGATGGTCGTTCGGTGGTGACCGGGTGCAGATCGACGCAGATACCAAGATTATGCAGGAATTCTCTCGAGTGATTCATTCTGACGGGATCCGTGGCGATCATCTCACCACCAGCCTTTCCACAAGTCATCCAGGCTTCTGCATGCCTGGACATGCTTCTTTGGCTGAATATGCGGCACAGCACAAGAATCGCAACGAGCTCCTACGACTGTTGGTGGAGAATGAAATTGCTCGTTTGATCGTGTGGGCCAATCCAACAAACGATCTTAAGCGGGAACAAGATCAACCTTCCACTATTGAGAAATCTTTCACGGATGTACGTTTCTCGACCAATGCGCTCTTCAAGTCCTAATATATTCCAGGGAATATGGTCTCAATCTGTACGCACCGCTTGGAAGATCAATCCTGCTATTGCGGTGTACATGGCCGAGCGATTCAAGGTTGCATCGGTTCATTCGGAGGTATCGCGACTAGTCAGAGCCCAGCCGAAAGAGGTCATCGATATTCCCGAAGCTTTGCAATTTATGCTTGGCGATCAGCTCCAGACAGGTAACCGAGCAAGCCTGAAGGTACGTATTTCTGTTCTTTCCATTGTCACATTCCTGGTGATACGGATCCGCAGTATCTGCTCTTGTGGAACATGGTTCCCCCGGTCACAGCGATTACGTACTTCCAGCCCCGGTACAAAAACCATCCTCTCCTCATTCAATACGCGCATCAGGTACTTCAGCAGCATCCTGTCGAGCTTACCTTTTTCTTCGTCCCGCAAGTAGTACAAGCACTTCGCAACGATGCACTTGGTGAGTCATACCTGTACTCTGTTTTCGCACCTTCTGATCTGTTTGGTAGGCTACGTAGAGAGATTCATCTTTGAGACCACAAAGATCTCCCAACTGTTCTGTCATCAGATCATCTGGAATATGAAGGCGAACTGCTTTAAGGGAGATGCCGGAGAAGAAGAGGATTCCATGAAGCCTATGCTGGATCGCATAACAGAAATGATAGTCGCGGCCCTGTCTGGACCAGCGCGAAATTTCTACGATAGGGAGTTTGAATTCTTCAACGAAGTGACCTCTATCTCTGGCAAGCTCAAACCTTACATTAGGAGACCAAAGCAGGAGAAAAAGGTAGTGTCCTTGAGCGTGGCCTTTGGCACATTCTGACGACGTTCCCAGGCCAAGATTGATGAGTGGATGGCACAGATCCAAGTGGATGTCGGTGTATACCTTCCGAGCAATCCCGACGGGAAAGTGGTGGACATTGATAAGAAATCCGGTCGGCCGCTGCAAAGTCACGCAAAGGTTAGGACTTCTTTAGATGTGGTGCGTTTGTCTAATGCTGTATGCTTAGGCGCCCTTCATGGCGACTTTCAAAGTACGGAAAGAGAAAATCGAAAGCATAGTCGATCCTGACTCCGTTCTCGGAGATGAGGCGCAGCCCTTGCAACGAAAGGAAGAATACGATGTTTGGCAGGCTGCGATCTTCAAAGTCGGCGACGACTGCCGGCAAGATGTGCTGGCATTGCAAATCATTGCTATGTTCAAGAACATCTTTGAGAGCGTTGGAGTCATGCTTTATCTATACCCATATCGAGTGACCGCCACTGGCCCCGGCGTAAGTTGTGCTAGGAGTCCGTTTGTATCCTTCTGATCCTTGCAGATGGGCGTCATCGATGTTGTACCAAATGCAACTTCTCGAGACGAAATGGGCCGCGCTAAAATCAACGATCTTTATGCATTCTTCATCGGCAAATATGGGAATCCTGACACGATCGCGTTCCAGGAGGCTCGGCTGAAGTTCATCCAATCTATGGCAGCGTACTCAGTAGCCTGCTATATTCTGCAGATCAAGGATCGTCACAATGGAAATATCATGATAGATGGCGAAGGTCACATTGTGCACGTCGGCGAGTCTTGTTCACAGTACGGTTGAAGTCATGTTCTGACATACCCCGCAGATTTTGGATTCCTTTTCGACATAGATAAGTGGCATCATACAATCTATGCCTTTTGTACTTACTATTTCCAATGATTACGTCCAGGAGGTGTCAAATTCGAGCCGAATTCGTTCAAGTTGAACCACGAAATGGTTGTCGTCATGGGCGGACGCCAGTCACAGGGCTACCAGCTTTTCGTCAACCTGACTGTCAAGGCATTCCTTGCGATCCGCCCTCACGCTGAACAACTGATCGACACAGTTGCTCTTATGCTCGGAACAGGATTGCCCAGCTTCAAAGGCGAAGGAACAATCAGGCGATTGCGCGATCGTTTCCAACTGCAGCTCACTGAACGGGCTGCTGCTGAATACATGATGGGTGTCATCAAGAACGCCCACGAGAATGTACGGAGCACATTCTATGATGGATTCCAAAAAGTTCGTGGGCATTATTTTCCTTGAGTCCGCTTGCTTATTCTCCCCTTCAGATGCAAAACGGCATCCCTTATGCTGCCTAATCTTGAATAATCGCTTTACCCATGTCACGTATACCCCTCGTTCCACACCCACTTTGCGTACAGTAAAGCAGTCGAACTATTTTACACATTTGATATCTAGGATATTATGGATTCTTTGGCCAAAACCTCCCATTGCTCGATGGGTTTGCTGCAGTCGACGACCCATATTTCTGTAATCTCGAAAGATTCCACGCCTGCAATCTCGACGCCATCCATCCTCTGATCGGCTAGTCCTTCGTCGTACATGTCCTGAACGATGCGTTCCTTCTTCTCCTTGGTGTAGTCACCGTACACAAGCGACAAGTGGGGGAAGAACTTCCTATGATCATGGGAGTCGAACGCCTTCCGAATATCCCGATTGAGGGTCATAATGTACTCCGACTTCTCGACGGATACCAGGACACATTGAAAGAAAAAGTCTCCGCTCTCGACTCGCGACAATTTGATGGGGAGCGGGTCTTCCGGAGGGACCACGGAGCGTATGCAGGTAAGGATTTCTTCCACCGTCATGTGCTCTGGCACCTTGTTCAAAAGGGTGATGTGAGGATGAAACTTTGGTGCATTGTATTTGTCCGCAAGTTTGTTAATGACGCCTTGTAGTATTTTTGCTTCTTTTGGCGGGGGTGGAAGCCATAAGGAAAGCGCTGTGGCTGTCATGAGCTGGCAATTCCCGGCGACGAGCGCTTAAAACACCAACCCATTCTGATCGGAAATGATCGTTGAGAAGCAAGGCGCGGGAACAAAGCTGTGGCCACACGGAAGCAGACCACTTTCTTTGCCTCCGGAAGCGCCTTTCGTTCAAACCCTCAACGCGACCCTATCAAGTTCACTGTGTCGTGCCTCTTCCTACTGCTTTGTATTGTTCTCTCCAACCAAAAAGCTATCTACTTTTGGCATCATCGACGGCATGTCATCACCACATCCAAAGCGTACCGCTTCACCTGCACCAGGAGGGGATGCCAAACGACTACGCGTGACGCTCCCCAACCAGCCGCAAGGAGCCACGCAGGTCGACCTCTCCAATGCACCTGGTAAGAAGACCGAGGCCGAACCGATCGCATCAACGGATATTTCAAATCTCCCCAACGTGGCCGATACATATGGGGAAGCAGGGCCGAGCAGTCAAGGAATTGTTGCCAACCCCTCCTCAGAAGCAGAGCCCGCCGATGAAGCGGACGTTGCGATGACGGGCGGTGGAGAGCAAGAAAATAAAGATGGTGATGAGGATATGGACGAAGGAGAGGAACCCCAAGAGGAAGAGGATGCTGCTGCGCTGGAGCAAACGCGTCAAGCACTCGAGGAGCAAGCACGACAGTACCTGGCGGCGCAGACGCAAGAGATCATCATCCCCAGCTACAGTGCTTGGTTCGACATGTCCAAAATCAACCCCATTGAGAGGAAAACGTTCCCCGAGTTCTTCAATGGTAAGAATAAAAGCAAGACACCCGCAACGTACAAGGAATACCGCGACTTCATGATCAACACATTCCGGTTACGTCCGCAGGAGTACCTCACCTTTACCGCTTGTCGTCGGAATTTGGCTGGAGATGTCGGGGCCATCTGGCGCATTCACGCATTCCTAAGCCAGTGGGGTTTGATCAACTACCAGGTATGTGTCTCTTCTCTGGTGTCAAGCTCCAGTGGATGTTCAAACGCGACTAGGTGGACCCTGAGACCCGACCTGCATCATTGGCACCCCCATTCACAGGTCACTACCGTGTAATTCTCGACACGCCACGCGGCTTGCAACCTCTTCATCCTGGCTCGGCACCTCCAAAGCTTAACGTTGCTCCCGCCATGCCGCATACACCTGCAATCGGTGCACCTGAGACACCCGCCAAGCTGGCGTCGGCCAATTTTGAACTGCGCCAGTCCATCTATCAGACCGGTGTAAAGGGAGCGAAGGAGGTTTCCGCCACCGACGCTGCAGAGTTGGAGAAGGAGATCAGTTCAGGTGGGGCTGTTAACAAGCCTACATACGCTTGCGACACATGCGGCGTGGACTGCACACGGGAGCGGTACCATTCTCTCAAGGTGCCACATTTCTCGCTATGCCCTTCCTGCTATCTCGATGGCCGCTTCCCAAGCACGATGTACTCTGGCGATTTTGTGCGGATTACACAATCACCGTTCGCACATGCTTCGGGAGAGGAATGGACAGACGAGGAAGTCCTGCTACTGCTCGAAGGCATCGAAATGCACGATGATGATTGGGCTGCCATCTCTGAGCATGTGGGTACCCGGACTCGGGAACAATGTGTTCAGAAGTTCTTGCAACTACCGATCGAAGATCCGTATATCGAGGCGGAAGCTGACGTTGGCCCGCTCAAGTACTCTCGCATCCCCTTCGAGAAGGTCGATAACCCTGTCATGAGCGTAGTTGCATTCCTGGCTGCTAATGTCAGCCCGCCAGTCGCTGCGGAGGCTGCTGGCGCAGCACTGGGGGAGTTGACCGAGGGGCTGAGGAAGAGCCTGAAGAAGCCACCGAAGGAAGGCGCAGAGGAAGGCGCAGAACCCGCCGTTACTGAAAAGACGCCTGCGCCCGCAGAAGGCGAGGCCTCCGAGGATCATCAGATGGCAGATGCAGAGCAAGTCACGAAAGAAGAAGAGCGTACTCCCGCGCCCGTGCAGGCTGCAAACGAAGAAGAGACCATTGAGGTGGACAAACCCGCGGAGGAATCCGAAGCGCCTGCCGTTAATGGCACAGAGCAACCCAAGCCAGGTGTGCCGCAATCTGCTGTCCGCAGGGCCGCAGATCTGGCGCTCAAGGCTGCGGCGGCACGCGCGTCAAGCCTCGCAACACACGAAGACACAGTCATGCAATCGCTCGTGACTCGTGTCGTCAAAGCGCAGCTAACCAAGCTGGAGATCAAGATGACCGGGTTTGAGCAGCTGGAAGAGCTGCTCGAGTCTGAACGGCGCACGCTGGAAGAACAACGGATCGGTCTGGAACGGGATAGGGAAAGCCTGCGCAAACAAGCTGAGAAGCTGGGTGATCGGGCAAAGGAGCTCGGCGTAGACCTGGAACAACTGGGTGGGAAGACGCTGGCCCAGGAACTTGCAGCGCATGTCGAGGAGCCGATGCTTCCTGCTGGACAGTCTGCGCCGATGCTGACTGCGCTCTGAAGGACGGTTTGTACATAGTTCTTAGCCCGGCCGTCTTCCTGTCTTAGTTTGCTACACGTTAATGTATTACTGTATGACGCGCTACAACTCTACTCTCTGCCGGGGGGGTGATGCCTCTGCGGGTGGTACGGCCGTGTATGGGTCTTCTAATGGCATAGCTTCGTCAGGAAAGGAGTCTACGATGAAGGCGAACTCCTGGGCAGCTGGTTCTGGAGCCTCGGTAGGGCTGACTCCATGCGCCGTGCCTGTCCGCAGAGTAGGCGATGGGAGCACAGAGCCGTCTTCCAGGCTATTACCCGTCGACTCGACATCCACAAACTTGGAGACCGTCACGATCTCAGTGACAGTCTCGACTCTCACGCTCGCGCCCTTCCCTCCCTCCATCGACATGGACATGGACATCGCAGCCGCCAGTGCCGTACTAGTCGTAGTCAGCACGCTCGTCAGCACCTCCCGTACCTTCTGCTTCCTCTCCGCAGCACTCTCTATATCCAGGCCCTCGTCTCCAAAGCTCGGGAGCCATCTGACCCACCAGAACGCCAGCCTGACGCCTCGATCGATCACCCGCTGCTTAAAGATAAACGCTACCACTAAGAGGAACACCGCCAGGGCTGCGAAGATCAGCGCGCGATCTAGCCAGTCCGCACGTTCGAGCGCAGTGATGAGGGTTTTGCTAATGCCGAGTAAGCCGGAGAGGGAGGAGTAGGCATTTGACGCTGAGTGGAGGGTGCGAGAGGACTCGGCCAGGAGTTGGGTAGAGAGCACAGAGCGCTCGACTTCCTGCTGCATGAGCGCTGTCGTACGGCGTAATGCGAGGGTGACTTCGTTAGACTTGTCGGTTAGGGCGTCGTCTGACCTGCGTGGTCTGCTCAGCAGGGAACGAGCACGGAGAGATGTACCGGACTTTTCTTGGATGAGATCCTCCGGTGCTCCGGCTAGGAGCTCGAGCCTCTTATTCCTGCTATCGAGGTTCTTCTTGCTCTTGAGTACCGCGGCCCGGGTCTCCTTCTTCAACCTATCCGATCACTCAGCTCAACCCGAAACCCAAAACCCAACGCAGAAGTTGGAAAGGGAGAAACACACCTGTCCAGCTCGGCCCTCATCTTCCCCAGCTCGGCCCTCATCCTCCCCTCCCCCTCCTCCCCATCAAGCACAACCTCCAGCGCCCTAACCCCCCGTGTAACAAACTCAAGATCTTCCCTCAGCTCACTCGTGTACTGGGCTTGGAGAGCGAGGGAGGGACTGGAGAGCAGGCGGGGGAGCTGGGTGCGGATGGAGCTGAGGTGTCGTTGGAGGGTTAGGAGTTGGGCGGAGGGGGAGGGAGGGAGGGGGGGCATGCTTGGGCGTTCGTGTGGGTTGATGGAGATAGGCAAGCGGGAGATGGTGGGAGTGGGAGGGAGAGAAGAGCGAAGGGACGCGGTGTACATTTGCTTCAAGTTGACCACGTGATATGTACTCTATTCTAAGCGTGTCGCACACGGTACACACATCATCTAACGAGTAATTCTATTCCTTACTTTTCCTTTAAGTACACGATAGGCGTACAATCACATCAGCATCAGATCACAGCCTCTCAACCCAAAAAGATAAACGAGCAAAGCGCGCAGAGAGCGCAAAACGCAAAACGAGCAGAAACGAAACGAACGACGAACAACGAACAACGAACAACGAACAACGAACAACCAACCGGCACAACCTCCAAGCAGCCTTCCAGGGCATTCAAGACTTCACCTTCTCAACAACACACCATAGCACCCTCACAACCTCCTAACACCGTCCAGCGTACCCAGTACTTCTGCTCCATACCCCCGCACGCTCATCGAATATCCTCAAAATCCCTATAGTCCCAATCCTCCTCCGCCGCCGCCGCAGCAGCCAACGCCCTCGCCCTCGGGCTCCCCCCCACCCCTGCCCCTGCTCCTCCTGCCAGAGGCCGGTACACATCCTGTGGCAGGGCTGGGGAAAGCCTGTATGGGCTCCTCTGCGGTGAGTAGGGGTGAGGCGGGTAGGCGGCCCAGGGCATCGGGGATTGGTAGGGGTGGGCATATAGGTGGGCGTAGGGCGTGTAGGGTGTGTAAGGGGAGGGATAGGACCCCCAGGGAAAGGCGTGGTACGGGTTCGTATGCGGGGAGAGGAATTCTTCCCCCATCCCCCCCGCCGCCGCCGAATTGAGAGGCGCAGCGAGTGCCTCAGGCCTGCGCCTGCGCCTCCTCGGTGTGGGAGGATCACCAGGTATCGGAAAGCCCATTTGTTCCAGATCGATCAACACCTTCTCCTGCCTCTGTTCCGCCAACGGATGGGGCTTGGAGAGCGCCATGTTCTCCTCTATGATCCAAGCGCCTTTCCCTCCAGGCTGGAGAGTGCCAGCGCGTACCTGGGCATTGGCGAGCCAAGCTGGTGGGGCGGGGAGCTCGGGGGTGTCGGCTACAAGCTGCTGCAGCTCGCGGACTGCTTCGTGTGGATCGAACAGGATCCCATGCTGCAGGTACTGCATAAGCCCGAGCCTGGTCAAACATGGCGCGTCTAGCTGTTGCGCAGGAGGAGGAAAAGGCACCAGGGTGTGCTCCAGGTTCATGCTCTTGTACACTGCTAGCACAGCGCTGGGGTCAAAGGAGGAAAGCATATATTCCGGTCTGCGACCAAGTTTGTGTTCCAGGTAGTTTAAGCGGGGGATATCGACGAGCTGTTTCTTAGAATGGGAACCGGTGAGCGCGTTCGAGTTTGAAGAAGTGAGGAGGGTGAAGAGGGCGTTACTGAGTGCTTCGAGCTTGCGTGTAGGGCGCCCTGTGGGGGTGACGAGCGCTTCTACGCCCATTGGATGAGGCACTTCTGCTGCCCGCCGGTCGTCTAGCTGTTCGAGGTCGCGTTCCCTGCGAGCGGGTGAACGGGCAGAAGGAGAGCGGAGCATGAGCTGCCGAGTACGCGGTGTCCACGCCGGGTCCTCTGTCGCGGGCTGCGGGTGCCCACATTCATTACAGTACATCTGGCCTTTCCTGATGGGCCAAGCGCAGTAGGCGCAGGGGGTAGAATCAGCAGGAGCGGCCTGGAGAGCTGCGGCCCTTTCTGTGGATGAGCGGGATGGGGAAGGGACACCGTAGCGTGCTGCTGAGATGAAGATGTGGTTTGCGTAACCGCAGGATGGACAGTGTTTGCTTGATTGTGGGAAGGGACCGCGACATTGTGGACATGTGTAGGGAGTGGATATTGCTTGACCCATTGTGGTGTGTGATGTGTGGTGGTGTGTGGTGGTGTGTGGTGGTGTGTGGGGGTGAGTTGGTGGTGGTGATGGTGGTGATGGTGAGTGGGATATATAGCAGAGTGGGTGTTGTGAGTCAGAGTGATGAGGGGAATGTCTAGCGCTAGTTGTGGGAGTCACTAGGTTATGATTGCAGTGCCGTAACCATTCATTTAGTCGGAGGCAATGAACACCGCAACCCACGCATGAACAACCATGTCACCACCAAATGGATTCACTTCACTCCAAATCCCAATTTCACTTCTCAACTTACACACTGTACTCACTTCAGGTCAATCATTCTTATGGCACATATACCCTCTCAGCCCACCACATCCACAATCACACGAATACCGATTGTGCATCACAGACAGGCTCATATGCTTGAGACAGGATAACACGCACATATATTACCGCACCGTATTCCCAACTTCATCCTCCTCACCCACAGAAACCACAGAATCATGGCTCAATTCTTACTTCCAACTCTCAGTAAACCTTCCTTCTCTCTACACATCCTTCTCCCTCGACCCCCACTTCGCACGCCTCGCCCTTCGTCCACAACTCCAAGGCATCCGCATCCTCCGCCAAGACCCATGGGAATGTCTCCTCTCCTTCCTCTGTTCCCAGAACAACCACATAGCCAGGATAACGAACATGGTCCATTCCCTTCCGGAACATTTCTCACTCATCTTGGTACACGAGCCCCACCCTTCCCAGGACCGCACCGTCCAGTACAGACCGTTCCCAGCGCCGGAAGTGCTCGCAAAGGAAGGGGTCGAGTCCCAACTCCGGGCACTAGGGTTCGGCTACCGAGCGAAATACGTCTCCCACACCGCATCAGCGCTATGTTCCGCCTCTCCTCCGGGCCGAGCAAAGCTACTTGAGCTCCGCACCCTCCCCCTGCCCCAGGCTAGGGAGTTCCTCCTCTCCCTACCTGGCGTAGGCCCAAAAGTCGCAGACTGCACACTGCTCATGTCGCTCGACCAGCCAGGGGTAGTCCCAGTCGACACGCACGTCCTGCGCGTCGCGAAACGGTATTATGGGCTTAAGCTGGGTAAGGGGATGGGCGGGGGGAAGGGGTACGAGAGAGTGGCACAGGGGTTGAGGGACGTGTGGGGGGAGTGGGCGGGCTGGGCCCAGGGAGTGGTCTTCGCGGGGGATTTGAGGATGTTTAAGGATGGGGAGGAGCAGGGCGGGCGTGGGGGTGAGGGCGAGGGCGAGGGCGAGCTGGAGGCTGGCGCTGAGGGGAACAGGATTGCCACAGGGGAGCTGCCACTATCACCCGGATCGTCCACCATCGCCTCTAGCACCCCCAACACACCCGCCACACCCGCCACTCCCAACACTCCCAACACGCGTAGCACCCGCCGCCGGGCTCGACCCACTGTTACTCCTGCAATCAAACCCACCCAAACGCCCAAAAGGCGCGCCCCTCTCCAACCGCCAACACCCACCTCCCTCCCAAGGAAACGTAAGTTCTCGGAACTAGAGCTGGAACCAGAGCCAGAGCTGGAGGGCAACCCAGGACCGGCACCGAGGCTGGACGCTCCAGAAGCTGCAGGAGTAGGGGATAAGCGGCATACAGTCTTAGGGGCATCGGAGGGATTAGGGGCATCGGGTTTGGAGGGGTTAGGATCAGGTCCGGCCCTTGGGCTGGCGGAGAGGGTCAAACTTAGGACCAGGACCAGGGCGATCGTCCTCGGCGCCTAAGATAACTTTCGGTCATCAACCTCGTTCAGTTCTTGTCCGTCCGTCATCAGCGTGCCCTATGCTTAGTGTAAGAGAGAGACTAGACGGTCGATCAAACGGGTGCTAGTGAAGGGGCCGAAAGCCGGCGGGGCCCGATGATATTACTGCTTCCCGGGGATTGGAAGCTCTTTCACTGAAGGATTGAGCTCTTCGGATGGACACAAGATGCTTAGAGTCTGAAGCTGATGTATCCAACACGTGTAGGCGAGACAACCTAGTGCTAGCTTCGTCCAGCTTCTGTGACCTCGGGACAGGTGCAGGATCAGACATTTGGTCCAGATGGTTGATCGATACAAGTGTCTGATGTGACACAGGGACAACATGACAGACAACACATGAGACGGTGAGACGGTGATCGATCGGCTGGTAATGATATCGTGAGACGGTCGGGGTGATGATGATGTGACAAATATGAGTTCAAGATGAAAGAGGATGATATGATGTTTGTTGGATATGGATTATTGTCAGTTGACGAGCGCTTGAGATCGATGACAATCCCGATTCGATTCGCTGTTTGTGAGCAAAACCTGGTATCGGGGCTCAGGTAATCAGGTATGTGGGATCGAGATCCTGCTTTGGTCAGGTCCAGACCAGACGGCGGGCAGAAGCTTGCTGCGCAGGAGGATGAAACCTTGAGGGGTGAAATTGGACACAGGTTCATTTGAGAGTAGGGGGACAAGTAGCAGGAGCAACAGATTATTGCGTATATTTTTAGATGGCCGAGGGGGAGATATTGGTATATTATTGCTATGCTTTTTGCAAATTGGATGGATACCGAAAGCTGTGAACTTTATATGTTTCAGATCGAGAAACAGGCGCGGAAAGTCGGAAATAGAGTAAAGGGTCCGAGAATCCGGAAGTGTGGCGTGATTGGCTGGAATGTGTGTGGGGAGATGCGCTCCAACGGGTAAGGGAATGCGGTGATATTTGCTGTGAGGTCGTGTGAAGTGAAAGAGGGGTGAGGCGGCAACGAGTGAAGCGCATATAACATCCCCCCGACATCCACGCACTCGCCTCACACCGCAGGCGGCGACTTATTATCCCCCAACACCCCCGCATACACCCACCTCAACGCACAATGGCCCTCCGTCTTCTCCCTTCTTTCTTCTTCTTCTCTTCATTCATCCTCCTCCTCCTCGTAGCTCTCTCAGTACCAATCATAAAACAAATATTCCTCCTCACTGCTACTGTGAATGTAACAGGTTCAGTACTCGGAACAACAGGATCTGCAGCAGAATCAGTAGACTTTGGAGTATGGGGTTGGTGTGCAGGTGATGCGACTCTCACGTACGTCCCCCTTCCTTCCCCTTACCGTATCTAACATCCCGCAGCGTCGCAGGCCAGACAGACGAACTTGTCGCACCCCAGTGCTCTTCCCCCCAGCTCGGCTACGTACTCGACCCAACCGTATCCGGCATCCTCGAGCTCAGCGGCACATCAGCGCAAGACTCCCAACTGCTCCAAAAAGGCGTAACAGTCGCGCTCATCCTCCATCCTATCGCAGCAGCCCTAGCCCTCCTCACTTGCCTCTTCAGCTTCCTCCTCCTCCGGCCTTACGCATCATGGTGCGACCTCTGTGGTCTCCTCCCCGTCGCCCTCCTCTCCACCGCGACCACCACAGTGATCTTCGTCGTCGACCTCGTGTTCGTCATCATCGCTCGGTCCAAAGTTTCAGACGCGACAGGCGGCGCCGTCGCACTCGGGTTTGGCAACGGGGTGTGGATGGTATTGGGCGCTATGGTCGCTGTTTGGCTTGGCCTGTTTGGGGTGTTTGGAGCCGTCTGCTGTGGAGGGACGGATAGGGAGGAAGGGTGAGTCTGTTTGTAACTCACCAATATTTCGCTAATGAGAGCACGCGCAGGGGATGGAGGGAGGAGCCGGAGTACAAGTGGTAAACATGAACAAGGACGCGCTGGATGACGGCATGGACGACAGCGACAGGTTTGGAAGGGACAGGCGCGCATGTATTGGACTGCTGTGACTTACGATATTCTGTTCTCGTTTCTCCTTTTTTTACTTGATCAAGATTCACTCTCATGGTATGATACCGTTGTATTATCTACCCGCTATGTACGTGCCACCTGATGAATACAATGCGATGCGATGGTATGCGATGCAACGTAGATCTTAACTGGACGGACAGTGGGTTAGGCGCCTGAATTGGGCTCTTAGATGTCGGGGTTGTACTGAGTGGTCCGATCTGGCCACTTGGTTATTTTTCTCGTTTTCCCTTTCTCACTTTCTGCTTGTTCGTCTGTGCGCCGCAGGCAGGACACGAACAACACGTTATCACCACTGTATTATACCCTCTACTGTACATCCCCGTAATGCTATCACTCCTCGTCAGACTCTGCATCCTTCCCATTGGTCTTGCAGAGGGCAGCATCCACCTTTGCCTTGGGGCGCAACTTGATCCCTTTGTGCTTGAGGAGATACTTGCGTTTGCTCTCTGCTAGCATATCAGCGCTGCCCAAACATACGTCGATAAGAGAAAACCGTACCCCGTATAAGCTCCGCATCAGCCTCGTCGTCAAACGCCATCTTCTCCAGCGGCAGTCCAACATCCCCTCCCTGCTCATCCTCGCTCTCCTCCCGCGCCTGCTCAGCCCGTTTCCCCGGTTTGCCAACCCTTAGCTTAGCAACGAAAAACCCATCCATGTTATTCACATGCGGGTAAAACCGTCTCGTCTTCCCCATCTCTTCCCCAAACGTCTTCCCCCGGAATGCCTTGAACCCTTCTCGCCCGAACTCGAGCCCGGTGTCTACTAGCCGCACGTGGGGCCGTTTACGCAGCGCGTAGGCGATGACGGACTCGTTTTCGTCTACTGTTACGGAGCAGGTCGAGTAGACTACTGTTGCGCTGGATGAGGGGGTGACGGAGTCGATCGCGCATAGGATCAGTTGTTTCTGGAGGTGGGAGAGTAGGGTAAAGTCCCTTGCTGACTGCGGGGGCATTAGCGTGCACAAGGGGGAAAGGGAAGACGCACCTTGTTCTGCTTCACACTCGCGTCCTTGCTAATCACTCCCGTGCCAGAACACGGCGCATCGAGCAAAACCCGGTCAAACCCTCCCATAACCTTGGGGAACTCCCGCCCGTCATAGTTGCACACCACGACGTTCCTGCACCCCAGTCTGTGCACGTTCGCCGTCAGTCCCTTCGTGCGTTCCTTGTTCGCGTCGTTTGCGAATACCACCCCGGTGTTCTGCATCAAGGCGGAGATGTACGTCGTCTTCCCCCCAGGGGCGGAAGCCATGTCGAGCACTCGTTCGCCTGGCTGCGGGTCCAGCGCTATCACTGGAAGGAAACTCGATGCAGCTTGGAGCATGTAGTGCCCTGCGAGGTACTCGGGCGTGGCACCGATCGGGACGGAGGACTCGAATACCTGTAAGCCTACCTTGCTCCATTTCCCTATAGGCTCGAGGTTCACCCCGCGGTTTATGAGCGCCTGGGCAAGCTCTCGCCTCCGCGTACGGAGGGTGTTGGTCCGGATCGTCACTGGCCTAGGGAGCTCGTTCGATTCGAAGAACTCGATCGCCTCTGCCACTGGGAAGAGGTCGAACAGCTTCTCAGCAAGAAAGGCGTTGTACCCGTAGTAACTGGCGATATCTGCCAGCAGCTGCTGGACGTACTCGCTCCTTGACCGGTTGGGCGCAGCGAACTTCTTAAAATCTCCAAGGACCTTGACGCATTCCCGCATACGGAGTTGGAGCTCGTTTACGTCCACAGGGGCAGATCCGGACGCTTCGGCCTCCTGCTGCTCTGCACTAGGAAGGGCGAACATCGTTTCCTCCCCCGCGCCAGCAGCGGCGGCTTCGGCCATGTCGGCCGCCCTCTCAGCAATAGCCTTGGCCTCCAGCGCCCGGGAACGAGCTTCGATATTACGCGCGGTTGTGGGCTCCTCCTCTGCCTCCTCGTCGTCGTCGTCGTCGTCTGAGGAGGATGCGGCAAAGCGCGGTTTTTTGGTCGGTTTGGTCGGTTTTGTGGGGAGCGAATCGGCTTCTTCGTCAGAGGAGAGGAAGTCCATATCTTGCGCTTCGGGTCGCTCAAAATTGTCGTCACTAGATAAGACGTGAATAGGTAGATCAAAGCGGAAGATAATCAGCACACACCCATCGATGTCAAATTCGTCTGCTTCCCCACCTTCGTCATATTCCCCCTGCCCCTCCTCCTCACTATCATCAAACAGCGACCTGCGCACATGAGATTCGTCCTACCCAGCACGTTGCCACTCACTTCTTATGCATCTTCAGATCCTCATCCCCGCCAAACCCGCCCCACACACCATCCTCCTCGTCCGTGTCCGAACCCACCAGTGCCTGTTTCCCCTCCTTCAACCCGTTCACAGGCTTGGACTTCTTGCTCGCTCGATCCCCGTCATCTGCCGCTTTCCGTTTCAACGCTGCGGGAGAAATGGTGCTTTTCGGCGCAGCGGTTTGGGACTTTTTGGTTTTGGCCATTTGAGAGAATGGGAGAGACTGAAGTCCCTGTTGATTTTTCTGCGAGGAATGTCGGCGCTTCTGCACAGCCTCTAAGACCCTAATGCTTCATCACGTGAGATTCTTACATTGTCCACAATCATTATCATGTGGCCACCATCTCATATTCGATCTGGCTAATTAGATATACTGCGAGATGGAACCATTAAGGAATACAATGACATTGCTCAAGGCAGATGAGCCCATTGCACCTGCTGGCCTAGCTGCCTGTAAGGGTCCGTATATGACCCCATACTTTCCTTTTTAGGTAGATTGCCTCTGCAAGGCAATCATGATTGTCCTTGGACTGACACATAGCAGGTGGCTGTAGGCCACCCTTCTCTCTATCCTTTTACTACATGTAATGTATTGCTACTAGATAGTAATACATTTGATCCATGTATGTATTGAGGCCATAAGGGCATAGTAAGCCCTTTCACTGCCATACAAAACAGCCTGTCACACTTTCTGGACTCAGAGTATTGGAAGATCAATATTGGGCCATGTCCAGCCAAAACCTGGCACATCTAATGGCCTATTGGTTCATTCATTAACCACTGTGGTCATCCGGTGCAACTGTTAGGGCAACACAGGCTGACTAAGTCTGCTCACCTAAGAGTGCCAAGAGTCT